ATTTTCAGGGCTCCCTCAGAAGAACTTTTGACAATTTCAGGAAGGGAAGATTGGGGAAGAATTGTACGGCACCCAGTCATTTATCACACGTTCCAAATGGGGTCGCAGCGAAGAATATTGCCAAACTTGGCCATTAAAGAATTGAACAACTTTTCTTTTTGAGTGCTAGCTTCAGTCTACAAGGAAACATCAGTAATGTGCTATACTAAACTGGCGTAGATGGCAGAAGGTTGCTATTATAAATAGCTAAGGTGTTTTCAATTGATGTAATGGAAAAAAAATGTGGGTAAAGTCAAGCAGACTCTCGGACAAAACTTTTGCAACAGTGTAATGCTACCAAGAAGTGATAACCCGATCGGTATTTAATTCATTACCATTAATTGGAAGGAAAGTAACTGTGGCCAAATGAATTGTTGTCAATGCGGGCGCAAGCTAGTTTAATTATTGGCTATGATGTAAAGCTTGATAAGTCTTATTTCATTACGGTAATTTAGAAATGACCTACAAAGCGGTTTTCTTATAAAAACTTCCCTTTGTGTGATTACTGTTAGGTTTAGCGAGACAATCTAATAAGTGATATATTCTTCTCGTTTCTCGTGTGCTTTTGTGCCAAGTATCTAGTGAGCTTCACTTTCTCTGCTAATATACCCTATGCCAATTGATAGTTCTACTGTAGCTTGATTGTGTGCCTTCAAAAATTGTTGATCCCGCTAAATAAACTCTGTCATGCATTAACCCCTTGTCAGATGCCGTTTGACCTCTGAGCAGGCTGCCAACAGCCAAATGGCAGCTACAGAGTAAACATTTCATGTAAGGATGATGTATGCAAACGGAGACGATGGGAACTGTCAGCTGCGGATCATACCGTAGTCAAACAAAGATCGCGCTCTAAATGGCTGTGTTTGTGAGAAGGAAAGCGTTACCTTCAGCAGACAGGTGCCAATTTCGCTTTCCTCGGAGAATTCCACTTCGTAGAGCGTTTTCTCAAAATGTGGCGGACGACCATAACCATCAACGAGATCAGCCGTTACTTGTAAGTCTAAAAGAAAAAAGGTTCTGGTTTGTAAAAATGAAGGAAGAATAGAGGAAACTATGGGAAGAACGCGTTTTTTTTTTGTATAAAACTGCAACTTTACATGAAATTTGTTTAGTTCTTTCGCCTTTTTCAGCAGAGGCTATACTACAGGTAATCCCTTCCAGTTATTTGACATTATGCGTTTTATTTGCATTTAGATCGCTCCAAAACACAAAATGCTAATTGCAGCACATTCCTCACCAGCTATATCATGCATGAATTGGCAGCTCTACTAATTCCCGAATTTCCATGAAAGCTTGCCAAAAGATCCTAAACCATCGAAACTATCGAATCTGGGTGGCAAGCCATAAGCGTATAGACTTTAATACTTCT